GATAATATATATAACCTGGCATCAATTGTGAATATTAAACAAAACGAAAATAAGAAAGTATATGCTTTCTTTGTGGACTTTAAAGCCGCTTTCGATAATATCTTCAGAAAATCTTTAATATATAAACTAGCTCGGCTTGGTGTTTCGAATAAATTTCTAAAACTGATTGAAAGTATATACAACAACACAGAGTATGCGGTTTTGACAGGTGAAGAACTGTCAGACTACTTTGAAACCAGTTCAGGGGTGAAACAAGGTTGCCTCCTGTCGCCATTGTTATTCTCGCTCCATATAAATGATCTACACGAACATCTAGAAGGAGGTATTGATATTCACAATACAAACATTAGGCTTTTGCTCTATGCAGATGATATTGTGATTTTGTCAGATGATATAAAAACGCTACAACAAATGATCTCAAACCTGGAAAGCTATTGTGAAAAGTGGAATCTGAAAGTCAATATGAGCAAGTCTGAAATACTCATATTCAGAAAAGGAGGAAGGCTGGGTAGAAATGAGAAATGGAAGTTTAATGGAAATGAAATTAAAAATGTAAATGAGTACAAATACTTAGGAGTCACATTTACCCCGAAACTTTCATTTTCAAAACACATTAAGAAACGAACTAGCCAGTCAAAGATGGCAATAAACTCTACATGGATTGATTTCCTGAGGAAGAAAGATGTAAACATGAAAATGAAATGGAAGGTCTATGAGGCTGTTTGTAGATCAGTACAAACTTATGCTGCACAAGTATGGGGATATTCGTATTTTGACGAGGTCGATAAGTTGCAGCGTTACTTTTTAAAGAAAATCCTCAAAGTACCGAGTTTTACACCTAACTACGCTCTTATGCTTGAGACCAATGTCGAAAATTGTCACTTATATACATTCAAACTAAATCAAGTATTGTACAAATACCAAGAACATCGGTTACCGAAAATATTAACCAATATATTGTTAGAAAAAGAAGGATTCTGGGTAGAAAATATTAAAAGTATGGCTCATCGGTTAAACGTTCAATGGCCAAATACCGCAAATGAAGATGAATGGACATTATTTACCAAATGCATTATTGGTAAAGAAAAAACATATTTATTACAGGAAAACTTGAGGCTAAAACAACAAAGCCAAGATAGAATTTATAAACATTTAGACTATAGAATGGGAGAAATGTACTTTACTGACTCTTTTACTAGCGATCAAATTTCATGGATCTTTAAAGCACGATGTGGACTTATCAATTTGAATGCAACCAGATTTAACACTGAAAATGCAGAACGTAAATGTACGTTATGTAATCTGATTCGTGATGAAACATTGCAGCATTTCATTGGTCGGTCTCCGCCAGAGGAGTTGTAGAGGAGGTGCCTGTGTGCCAATCAGCATCCGTGATTGATCGAGCATTGGAAAGTTGTGGTGGAACGTATCGAACATATACAGTTGGTATAATGCATTTGTAATATAAACGTTTATTTGTTGCAGGTAACTCTGCTGCAGGTAACTCGGCCCGCACGCCATTTGACCTCTCTTTACGGATTTTTGGTCTGAAATTTGTATAAGATTGGAAATAGTAGTCATTACGTTTGTGTATAACTCCCACTTTATAGTACCAGCCGCTTTTTTCGAAATATAGTAAAAGTATATTGGCTATAATTAAAGTATATACAAATAAATTTATTCAATCCAGGATTTGGTGTAGCTATTGAACTCGATTTTTTCGCAAATACAATATTCTTATTATAATAGGAGATAAGGAAGTAATTATTAAGTTTAAGGAAAAAATGTTTTTGTTTGGTTTATTAGAGTATGTTTTATGGCTAATTCTATAAAAACTAATTTAAGGAATATGACTGCAACTCTCGGAGCTATATTTTCCATTCTCTCAATACCAATTAATAGTCTTACCCTCCGACATCAAGTAGGACAACTTTCTTCAGAAAATTCGAATATAAAAGAGAAAATTACTGTTTTTAATTAATTTCTTTTGTATAGATTTATTTTGAATCATTTTCAGTTTATCCATTTTGTCATCTAACAAAATGGCAAATATCAGTTTATAATATTAAATTATTTATTTTAAATATATTTTAATTTTTATTTATGAATTATAGATAAAGTCATATTAAGTATTTATTAAAACTAGAAATTTACAAATATGAGACAAGGTAATTGAAAAGAAAACTATTTAATAAAACTTGTTAAAAATAAGTTACAAATTCGTTAAGTTGTTTTCTAGGCATTTAAAATCATAAAAATTAAGCTTTAGTTTAGATAAAAATGGAATGTTGTGTATGGTTTTATATAAGGTGTAATTATGGACTATTAAATAAAAATGAAAAGGTGTTTATATTTTTAATGTACATTTCTTATGTTTGCTTTATATTAAATTATTTTATAAATTATTTTAGCTGCTATTTAATTTTTTTAATTATTATATATTTTTTATTTTATGTTTTTATTGAAGAATAGTAGTCGTTTATTTTGTATGTTTATCATAAAATATTGTTTTTATATACAAAGAGTTAAGCAAAAACTGGATTTTAGTTAATTTAAGACATTTCATAGCCGTAATTTTGAACTCCATCTTACCGGAAAAGTTTAAATAACGCCAACTAAAATGTCAGTGGAAAATGAAATATTTTTTTTTTTTATATTATATACATGGCCAAATTAGCCCTGTATACATATATTTACAACAAAGCTAATGTGGAAAGTTGGGAAAAATCATTTGCCAAGTGAAGATCTCCATTTTTCGATTCAGTCTATTAACGTAAAATCTAGACCATAAGAATGATAAAAACATTTGTTTTGAACGTATTTCTTTTTTTGTGAATTATTTTCGTCATTTATATTTAATCCTACGGAGGCTATGCTCGTCGTGAGGAATTTCGACAGTCTGACAGTTAATAAAATCCATTTAAATTAAATAGAATTAGTTTCTGAGCCTAATATACAGGTTGAGATGAAAAACTGCAACCAACTTCAGACTGCTATCATTTCTAAGCCACTCGTCCGATAGCTGTTAAAATTATTTCAGTTACAGCTCATTATATTGTTTACAAGCGTACAAGAGCATTTTGCTTAGAATTTTCCAGAAAAAAAAGATATTCGTGATGGAATTCAAGCGTGATTTCTTATTTTTTGGCTGAAAAACCACAAGTGGCTATCGTTAGAGCCCTCCAGCATTTAAATGGGAATAAATCTTTTGTGTCTCGTACCATCGCTCGTTATCATGTTACCGTGGTAGCGTAGCTCGACGTCAATGAAGTGGACAGAAGAAAACAGCAACATCAGCAGAATTGGTTCGAAAAATAAAGAAGCGAGTTGATCGAAACCCGCCTCGCAGTGGCCGAAAACTGGCTCGTGAGCTGAACATATCGCAATATTCCATTCGGCAAATATTAAAAAATGAGGGTTATGCTATTGAAATTCCAAAAAGTGCAAGAACTTACACCCCAAGAGGAAGAAATTAGACTCAAAAGAGCTAAAGAGTTGCTTCGCTTGGCCGAAAGTGCTGAACTGCCGAATTTGGTTTTCTCCGATGAGAAAACATTAGTTGTCCAGCAGTTTGTAAAAAAAAAAAAACAAAATGATCGTGTTTACTTGCCAAAGAGGTCAGCTGAAAATGTGCACCTTCGTTTGGCCACCAGAACTCAAGCGTCGACCATGGTGATAGTGTGGGCTGCCATAACAGCCGATGGTCGCTCTCCGCTCGTATTAATTGACCGTGGCATCGGAATAAATGTTGAATATTATCGCAAAAATATTTTGGAGGGTGTATTAAAGCCTTGGGCACGCAAGCATTTAGGCCGCAGACCTTGGACATTCCAACAGGACTCAGCACCATCGCACTCAGCACGCGTCACCCAAGAATGGTTACAAAATGTGGTTCCTCGATTTATTTCCAGCGTACAATGGTAATCAAAATCTCCAGACACCAATTCGTTGGACTGTTGTGTCTGGAGTATTTTGGAAAGCAAGGTTGGAACTAAAAAATACCAAAGTGTCGATCACCTCAAGCAAGAGCTTCGTCGGCAATGGGCCAAAATACCGCAGAGCAACATTCGGGCAGCGTGTGATGGTTTCATTGGTCGTTTAAAGGCCATATTTCGTGCCAAATGTGACCAATTCGAACTTATTCTAAAATTTGATGCTATTTTCGATGATTTGTGTTTCATTCAATAAAAATTAAAAAAATGTAAAAATTATGGCGTTTGACTTTGTTGCAGTTTTTTTTTTATCTCGACCTGTACAGTCCTCAGTTTCGCATTTGGATTTGTGGAAAGGGGGAAAACCTACTTGGCAAATACGTGCTTTATTATAATAATTAATTATATCCTACCATAAAGGCCAGGGGGATTATGGTAATTTATAATTGAAGTCTGAAATTGTTTTCAACCCAAGCAAAGTAAAGCACACCAAAATTATGAATGTATATTTGTATAAAAGTAAAAAATATCAAATGAAGAAAGATATGAAAAAAATAATTTTCGTTTCATATTTTCGTAGAACAAGAAGTCAACTTGTTCAACTTGTTATGAAATGTCTTAGCTGTTCAAAATTTTCTAATTATGGTTAAAATAAATTTGTCTTTTGCATTAATTCAAAACTATGTACAATTGTTGAAATAAATAATTATAAAATATAGAGGCTTTTCAAATGATTTTGAAACAAAAATTGTCTTCAAAAGACTTTTAAAGTATTGGAACAAAATATTTTTTTTTTTCGATATATATATTTTTTATTTAACATTTCATGTTGTTGGAAATAAAAATTCAAATAAAGAAAAACTAAAACAAATATCTATAACTAAAACTAAGTTCATTTGCTTATTTTAAAAAGTCTCTATAATATCATTTGCATTAGACTTAAATTAATATTAAATATAGTTGAAATTTTCATTATTTATAAGAATATTTTCAAATTAAATTCGTTTTTTTGTTTTGTGTGTGTGTGTGTATTTAATTACTAAAATTTTAATAATTTTTTAATAATAACTAACGGGGCACAACTAATGGCGATAATTATCCTCCATGCGATTTCGTTTCCGTTGTGCCGGATTTTCATCGATGTCTAAACTTTCATTGTCACTGTCCATGGGTTCACTACAGTCGTCACCATTGTCGCCACCAATATCGTCCTGTTTACGTTTAGCTGTGGCCATTTCAGCAGCATGACGTTTACGCCATTTGGTGCGACGATTTTGAAACCAGACCTGAAAATATTACAAAAAAATATAACATTTAATTTAATCTTACTTATATATTTTATTTCTTTAGGATAGTGTAGAGTGGGAAATGTAATTAATGAAACAAGGGTATTAAGGAATATTTAAAAAGTTACCTTTTAAAATATCCCTTAACAAGGACAATATGTGTAAAAAGTCATTAAGTTAACATTCTGAAAATATATAATCTAAGGTCAATATATGACACAGATTCTCATTTTCACACACATACATAAACACACACATACATTTTGAATATACCTCATCAACGCCGGTTAACCCTCAATTAAGAGAAAATAAAACACCCAAAAAACGGCAATCTGTGTCCATGGCCATTGTAGCATGTGACGTTTTGGGGTTTATACAAACCATGACTAATTTTTTTCGTAAATTTTCCTTTATTTCTCCCTTGTTTGGGCATTGGGCTTCATTTGTATCTAGTCTGTCGTGTTTTTGGCTACCATGTGTTACACGCCAACCCAAATGTTTATGAAACAGCAAGAATTCCTTTGTAAATGGTAATCACGTTTTTTTGGTTGAAAAGCGTTACAGTTGTAGAAATATTGAATTAAAGTCCAAGTTATTTAATGTTAATTTTTTTTATAAAACTGTTACCTCCAGAAAAATAATAAAAGAGATACCCAGTATACAAGAGACGTAAGTTGCATTATTTGATAGAAAAAACTCCTCAATTTTCTGTTGCCATTTTTTTGTTGCCTTTGGAGCTTCTTGTTCACTTTATTTGTATACCCTCCACCATACATAGTATGCAGGGTATATTAAGTTCGTCATTCCGCTTGTAACTCATTCCTGATCAGCGTAAAATTCTAAGACGATTTAGCCTAGTCCGCCGACTGTTGAAATCAAGCTAGAGTCAAAACGAATTAAGATAGGAAGCTAAAATTTTGCACAGATTAGTTTTTTGTCTGCAGGCAGCTCAAGTTCGAAGATGGGCAATATCGGTCCACGATATCGTGTATATGAACCATATAACGGTACCCATGATATTCGGTATTTTGATGATTGTCGCCAAAATTTTCAATGAAATTGTCTGAAAATCAACACAAGATGTCCCTTCTGAGTACTTTACCCCCTGGAAGAGTACTGTATACATAGGTCCATCCCCCATATAACGGTACGCACCTTTCTATATTTGGTATTTTAATGACTTCAGCTTCCTTTTTTAATATACTTGTCTGAAAATCCACACAAGAAGTTCTTTCTAAGTACTTTATCTCCTGAAAGAGAATTGTCTATATAGGTCGACGATATCGCATAGCCCCCATACAACGGTACCCCCGATATTCGGTATTTTGATGATTCTATGGACATTATTCAACGGAATCGTCTCAAATTTCACATTTGAAGATCCTAACGGGTACTATAGTCTATGACAGAAAATTGTCTATGCAGGTCCAGGTCTACCATATATCGGTACGTTCCTATGTTCGGTATTTTGACAATTTTAGGTACAATATTCACCGGCATTATTTCAAATTTTGCATTTAAAGTTCATAATGGGTACTACTGCCTGTGGCAGAAAATGAATTTGTCTATGCAGGTCCAGGTTTTCGTATAGCCCCCACATATCGGTACCTCCCGATTTCAACATTTTTTGTAATTAACAGGAATTTCGTGTTTAAAGCTCGTAATGTCTACTACAGCTTATGACAAAAAAAATAATATGCAAGTTCACGCATTCTTATAGCCCACATATAACGATACCTCCCAATATTCGGCATTTTGATGATTTTTGGGAATTATTAACCAGAATTGTTTCAAATTTCGTATTTTAATTACTGAAGCCTATGACAAAAAATTGCGTATGCAGGTCAACGTCTTCGTATAGCCCCCATATAACAATACCTCCCGAAATTCGGTATATTATGTCATAGCTCGTATGCTCGTATGGATGTGATGTGCGTCGATCTGCCTTTAAGCTTGATGGTGATGGGCAATCAAAAAGAGAGTAAAAAGCCAAAGCGATTTGGAAAATATATTTGCAAATTATACCAACCTCCAATTTGTAAGAGGGTTTGTTTAATAAGAGAGGACAAATGAGAGGAATAATAGATAGAAGAGGGAAAGTATGAACCTGATTTTAAATGTAAACATTTTCTTGTTATTATGCAGATACAAAGCTTTCGTTAATACTCTAATTAGGAAGACGCCATCTTTTATATTTTACTCTTTTTACCACGATGCTAAATTAATAGTTACATTTTAACTAGCTTTTTTTACTGATCTAACATTGTGTTGATTTTCAGCTACATGCCACAGATTAAATTCCGAAAGTATTACCAAAAACTCGGCATTATAATGTGAAGAAATATAAGTCCAGCAGGTAAGTAAAATTTGTTCGTAAGAAGTATACATCACTTCAAAACTCCCAAATGTTTCACTTAAAGACAGTAACAACACTAAGTAACAGTGACATTAATGAAATCTACACTGGCCTTAAGTGGGTGTTAAACATTGGCAAACATCTCGTTTCCGAAAGTACCTTGTGGACATTGTTGCAAGGTAAGGTGTTGGGGTATCCCCCCGCCCATTCCTTAAACAAAAGAATGTTAAACAATGAGAACATAACACAGACATATTCATCGGAGGCAAATTAGTAAGTCACAGCTGTTGCCACAAACATAATGACCATGAAAATTCTTCTTAATGATGCCAGAATAATGGGGCTCGTTTTTATTTACAGACATGGAAATAATAGGACCGACAACAATGTGGTTGAATGGCTGTGTATATGTTTGAGGATGAAATGAAAACTGGCATAATGAGGATAATAAAGACAGTTGAGATTTCTACATAGATTGGGTCTGCAAAGGAATAAATTAAAGTGAATAAATAAAGTTAGATAGTAAACCATTTAAGAATTTTCATTGTTAGAATTGTTAAAAAAAATCGTTTAAAAATTTGTCTAAATCTACTTATTTATTACTCAACAGCGATTCAATACTTCCAGCTAAGCTGAGCTTCAAGCTTATCTTATTTATTTTTGCAAAAGGTACGTAGTATACATGAATTTCAGCCGCAAAAATTTAATTTGTTCTTGATCTGTTGGCGAATATCATAAACTATTTAATAATTACTCAACGCGTTTTTAAAAATTTAATTCCCCGAAAATAAGCTATAAGATTTTCCAAATATGTTAGAAATTAAAAAAAAAACACAAAACAATACGACTTAAAATCCATCAATTTGAGTCATAAATAAAGAATATGTATAAAATTAAAAACAATAATATTTATTAGTCGTAGTACCGGTCACACCAAGACCCTCACAACATGTCTACAACATCTTCAAATTCTTCTGTGAAATTATAAATAAAATTAGCCAATGAAATTGGAATCCCAACTTGAACAATAAATTATGCATATAAATTTATGGCATAAACATGTCAAATATAATCAACAATACGTCACTAATATTTCAAAAAAGAGAAATGAGGACAGACTGCTTTTTTGATGGATTTCCATCATTTGAACAAAATGTTCTTTTAAATATTTTTATGGCTCAGCAATACTACATACATACAAAGCCATACATGCTCGATGGGATATCAATGAAATATATGACGGCCATTAAATGCCATGGGGAACTTATTGCCATTTGATGGCATTTGTTGGTGGCTTTTTTATTGATGGCATCCTAGCACCTTTGGTGTTCCCTTGGCAACTCCAATGAAGTCGAATTCGAAAAAAAAAATGAACGGGGTATTGTAAAATGGAAAACATTGAAATACAACTGTGCAATGCCAATGAAGAAAAGTTAAAGAAAATTAAATTTAAAGTCTTCATTTTTTTTTGGATGTTTATATGTTTGTTTGGGGGTTTTTTATTATTATTTATAGGTGTTATTGGTTTTAAATTCTTTTCTTCTTATTAAATAAACACGCATCCGTAAACTTGTATTGCCGTGACTAATATATTGATTTTGTAAAATAAAAGAAGTCTGTGAGATTCCATGGGAAGCTAGGAAAAAGACAGAGTAAGTGTTATCAGGCTAAACTAAAAATACCAAAAGTAGCCGTCATATTAGAGTCTAAATGACGACGTGGGCCTGCATAGGCAGCTTTTGTAGGTAAAATCATCAATATAAGTAGGTACTATTATATGGGGGCTATACCAAAACGTGGACCATTTTCATACGAAAAGTCCTGCAGACATAATATACATTTGAGTAAAATTTTATCAATCTACTTAATTTCGTTCGGAAGCTAGAGTGATTTCCACAGACGGACGGGCATCGCTAAATCGACATAGAATTTTATGCTGATCAACATAATATATTTCGAGGTGTTACAAACGGAATGACAAATTTAATATACCCTCCATACTATGGCGAAGGGTATAAAAACTTAGGTCATTTCCAGGACAATAAAGACAATCCAACACCGAGATAAAATACTGAAATAAATTATGATTGTCCTGTACGAAGTAAAAAGAGAAAATATGGCTTTTTTAACTTCGTATACTGGAGAAAGTGCTATTTTATATCAAATTAGCAATTCCAGCAATCCAGGTTTCAGAAACAGCCTGAACCTCAAAACCAATCCGGTAATGTGTGTGCTTCCGTCTGTCAATGTCATCGCAACTATGACCTGACCCTCAGGATAAGGGTTAAGTTTTCAACAGAAACCTTTAACTTTGGAAATTATCGCAAAATTTTAAGTTGAAAAAGTAGACAAAAATTGTCACAATTTTACAGGGATTTTACAAAGGGTTCTATTTGAGGAGAGCGTAGAAGCCAACAATTTTGCATGTTGGTCGTATAATATTTTGCATATGCGACAAATATTTTGTGTCGGAAATTCCAATATTTTCATTCTATCAGGAATATTTTAAGAACTCCAGACCTTAACACTGATGTCAGATATCAGAGATATATAGTTGAATTTTTTCGGATGTGTGAATTAAGCAAAGGCTAAGGACGTGGGGGGCCGACCATGTAATACCCTAATATTACACTACACTATGTTGGAAGTTCCTATGTCCAAATCCTTTTTGGAAGATTTCGTTCTTGCAATGATGTCATAGAGCCCTGCCCAGATGTTACCCTTAGGGTTTTCACCGGGGCTATTTGCTCAATATTTACGCACTCCGTAATGTTGATAGGTATTTAAAACAATTTTACATGGAAGATGTGGTCCATTTTACAGCTAAATCCAATGTTCATTCTAGATGTTACAACTCTTCCCTGTCCATAACTTCTTTTTCAGACAAAATTCTGTATCGATGGGGTTTAAACGACCTAGAACGACTGCGAAACCAGGAAAAATTTAATATTTTTGTTACATTTGAACGCCTAATTGTACATCTTCAAAAACAATAGGCTTTAATTCTGATCCTCCTAGACTCTAAATCCAAATTTTCTGTTTTTGGTCCATTTCAACACCCAAATACATATTTTACGATCATCTCCAATAACAATAGACATGTATTCTGACCCTTACCCTGACCCTAAATCCACATTTATTTTCAATTTCTTGAGAATCTGGCCATAATTGCCACCTGTAGCGTGGTTAAAAATTAACGTCGACAGACGAACAAATTAACATCGACAGCTCGGCGAGATAGGAAGATCTATATATAGTTTCTTATGTCGGGTACCAATATTTAGTTGTTACATAATTTTTGGCCAAATCAAAGTTTTAATACCCCTAACACATAGTACTGTAGGGTATAAAAAACAGAATTTAGACTTTAACCTTGAATTCCTCAGGAAGAGAAGAACAGTTCTCAATAAGTAAGTGGTCCTGAAAGCTACACCTGTAAAATACCGTAAAGTGTACTTACATCATGCTTTTAATCGCCTTCACCATGATGTTCAGGAAGCCTTTGTTAGTGTCGAGGTTCAATATTCAAACGAGAACCTTTTTACAGTGCCAGTGAAATCCGTTGAAGAATGTAGTTAAAATTATTAAAATACCATCCACCCCTAATTGTGGCTACGGAAAACGTGGAGCGATTTGGAAAATGTTCTGCCATTACGAACTACAAATTCCAAGCTTCAAACAAATCCCACAGAAAGTCATTCTAAAGTCATAAAAATACCAAATACCTGGCCCCTGCGAAAATTCTACTTTCTTTCATTCTTTTCTTCAACTCTTATAGGTTTTACATAAATGTTTCCCAAATATTGGGTTGAAATGCATTCATATGTATATACTGACAAATATATGGCAAATTTAATATATCGTCCTTTACCCGGTTTAAGCTATGATAAATAGATGCTCACAGCAAGACAAAAATGCCATAGTCGCTCCCTTTTTAAGTGGCGCCCAATATCGTAGTTTGTAAGAATTCTAAAACAATGTTCTACTGATTGCAAAGATAGAGACAAGGATTCTGTCGGTACCGTAAGATCATTTATTGCTTAATAAGCAAGTCCTTCTAGCAAGTCACACCAACCAAAGAATTTTTCTAAAAGTCTCCAGAACTTTTGTCTGACATGCCTACTAAGTAAATGTAGAAGTACGCATGTACCTAATTAACTGTCGTTAGATGTGTGTTTTTCTCGTCTCGTTCTACGTAATTGTTTAGTGTATCCTAATTTACGATTCTGCTACAGACTGATAAGTTCTGTGAAAAAATCGACGTTATACTGTATGCACTAAATTATACTTAGGATAACCTTTATACAGTGTGAATTTCATAAAGAACAACATCACAAATTAATTGCATTTGTATGCGTATATGCTGTCTGCACATATACAGACAAAAGCAAATTACACTGTCTTTTCAGCCATGTTGTGATTAATCACCAAAAAATGAGGCAACTGCCTCATGGTGCACATAATCTGTTACAAGTATCCCCCTATGTGCATACAATTCAGTCATGCCCCGTTCTAGAATAACGAGAATTACTCCGCTTTCACATCCATCTGTTGCAAAGCTAATATTAGAATTCAATTCGAGGCAACGACTCCATCACAATCAATGTCGAATGAATAAACTCCCCTAGCCCAGTTAGGAACTGTGCCTAGCGTTAAACCCCAAATACGTATCTAAACCACCCACTGTATGCAGTTTAGAATAGAGAATTAGAATCATGACTTCATGCATATTCATCACTTTGATGGTAGGACTGTACAAAATATATGACCAAACTTAATTGCATATGTATGCAATTTTGAGAGAAGAACAATTTCCAACACACATTCAAATATTTAGATATAGTTTTTCAGGGAAATGCACATACATGCAGATATGTTGTACAGAGGAAAAAGCCTTGTCTAGTTTGTCTTTGATATTCGGAACACAAATGTTATTATGCTAATTGACATCTATAACATGTAACGACTTGTGTTGTTTTCCAAATTTTATTTCAAATGAAATTTGTATAATCTGAAACTTGTTTTGTCTTCATAGTAAATAATGTCCTAATTGGAATGCGAAAATTAGTATTGACAAAAATTACAGCATTTTCCAAATTTAATTGTGGGAGAATGAAAGAGAAAAATGTATTTTGAATGAGTTATGGAGGGCATTTCAAATACGTGAAAGATAAATATTATTCGGAAAGTATTGGTAATGAATATGTGAAAGAAATTTTTATAAGATATTGCTGAAAACCGATCATACAATGTGTGGGGGGTATTATAAGTTTGATTATGGAACACCTCGAAATATTTGTCCCCGACATAGGAAACTATATATAGATATTCCTATCTCGCCGAGCGGAGTCGAAATAGCTATGTACGCTACGATCCTCACGAAATTGAAAATGAAGGTGGGGATAGGGATAGGGTCAGAATGGAAGCCTATTTGTTTTGGATATGATCGCAAAATATTTAGAGGTTAAAGTGGACCAAAAACAGAAAAAAAATTGATTTTGCTGTTGCTCTGCAGGCTAAAATTAAAAATTAATCGACACGGAATTTTGCATGGAGTTAGAGTTTAGGGCTGGGCAGAAGCCTACCAATTTGGACTGTCATCGTACAATATGTAGCGGGTAAAATAAACTATAACTTTTATATCAGAAAATTCGAAAATGTCCACCACATTGCGAATATTTTTTAATCCGGCCAAATTACAAATATATTAAAAGGTCAAAATTAAAGTGAAGCAGATAGCCAAGATATGGAATATACATATATATTGGTATTTTCCGAAACCGTTTTCTCGTATATTATTTTTTGTCATAGGCTGTAGCACCCATTACGAACATCAAATACGAAATTAGAACTAATTTCGTTAAATAATGTCGCTAAAATCATAAAAATACCGAATATCGAGTGGTACCGTTGTATAGGGGCTATACGAAGACGTGGACCTTCATAGGAAATTTTTCCATAGGTTGTATTAACCATTAAGATCTCCCAATACGAAATTTGAAACTATTCCAGTGAATAAAATTACTGAAATCACCAAAATACCGAATATCGGGAGCTACTGATATATGGGGGTTATAAGAAGACTTGGACCTGCATACAAAAATGTTTGTCATATGCTGTAGTATCCATTACGAACTTTAAATATGAAATTTGAAAAATTCCGGTAAATAATGTCGCTAAAATCATGAAAATACCGAATATCGGGAGTTACCGTTATATTGGGCTATACCAAAACGTGAACCAACATGGCCCATTTACGAACTTGACCTGTCTACTGGTAAACTATGCATGTATTCAAAATTTTAGCCTTCTATCTCAATTTGTTCGAAAGATAGCGCGATTACAACAGACAGACGGACATTACTACATCGTCTACTTTCTCTTTGGCTCTACATTGTCAGTGACAACTACGAAACCAACCACTCATCACGCCATGAAGGATATAACAAAATGAAAATGATTGATATTTTATTTCAGCCCCCCCTAGCCACCTTAATTCCTATGCCGCACAAAATCCCTGTTGAAATCGTGATTTGCTTTTACGCACCGCTTTGGGGACATAATTTGCGCTAATAAGGGGATCACAATAAATTTAAATTGCACGCCTGTGAGTGTTGTCGGGGAAAAACACCCTCTTCCATCAACAAGAACAACAGCAACAACAAATCCTCATAACCACACCTGAGCCTCTAAGCCTTGGGCGTATAAAACACCAACGCGAACAAGGGATTTATTTAATACCACAGAAACACGTGCCTGATTACGGCCATGACAATAACGGCAAGTCAATGGAGATGGAATAGAATGACGATGGCTGCTTTCTCCACAATGGCTTTGGCGGGGATATAAGAGTAACGATAGCATTGTCATGAGGACATTGAGTGAAATAAAATGTGGGTGTTTTGCCAGAAGATTACAAAACAGAATTTGACGAAAGAATTATGTAGAGAAAGACATGAATGATGAGGAAATATTCGTACGTTGCCCATTAATCTTTTGATTCATGGATTTTTTTGGAGAGCTACTATATCCAAATATTTGGGGATGGCTATATATTAAAAAAAATATATCACCCGACATCAGTCATACTATATGATTTCGTAGGCTAAACTTGTTAAATAAGCAATTTTTAAGGAATTCCCTTCCCTTAAATTTGCTACAAGTTTTGCTCCTTCAGGTCAATGCAAACGGTATTCTAGTAAAAAATGTCAAAAATGGTAATTGCTTGTTCTTTTGCAGAGTAGTAGTATGTCAGTCTTCTAATTGTAAAAAATAGCGAAATTTTTGCAAACAAAAAAATCTCGCACACAAATTTGTAAAAATACACACATGATATTTTGAGAAATATTTTCATATAATTTTAAGATTCTTTTCTTTGAAATTGTTTACTCACCTTAACTTGTGATTCAGTCATTCCTAAGGCATATGCTAGTTTAGCTCTCTCTGGTCCAGCCAGATATTTGGTTTGTTCAAATGTCTTTTCCAAGGCAAAGATTTGTTGACCACTAAATGTTGGGCGGGTGTGTTTCTTTTTGCCATCCTTATCGTTGGACTGATGGTGTTGATGTGACTGGGATAAATTGGCAGACACTAAAAAGAAATATAAAATAAAATGAAAAAATATTAGGAATTAAACCAGTAAAGAAAGTCTTAAAGTCGGGCAGGGTCGACTTTATGATACCCTACACCACTATATTAAATTAAAAGTTTTTATGGGAGAATTCAATCATACACGCTATGATTATAAATATAATTTAAAGTTCAAAAGACTAAATATGCCGAACCATTTGTATCTTTTAAATTCGGACTTGTATTGCCCATTTGGTGCACAATTAATTTGAAATCGGATAAAGATATATATGGGAGCTATATACAAATCGGAACCGATCTCCATAAAATTTCGCAAAGATATTTCTGAGCTGTATTTGACATATCGTTGTTACGGAGTGCATATTACGGCTGTGGGTAAAAAATATAACAAATCGAATGAACAGTATATATGGGAGTTATCGCTATATCTGAAACGATCTTCACCAAATATGACGTACTAGCTTCTAGACTAAATTCGCTCCTAAGTGCCAAATTCCATTCCATTTGGACAAATATTAGACGTTTGGTGCACAATATAAGATAAATCTGGAGCTATATTCAAATCTGAACCGATCTCGATAAAATTTGGCACATGTATTTCTGGGCTGTATTTAATATATTTCCCCAAATATTGTTGTAACAGAGTGCATACTACGGCTGCGAAGGAAAAAATTACAAATCGAATGAAAAATATATATGAGAGCTATAGCTATATCCAAACCGATTTCGATCAAATTTGGCATACTTATTTTCAGGCCTAATTTGGTTGTATGTGCAAAATTTCATACCATTCGGGCTGATATTACACGTTTGGTGCACAATAAAAAACAACTCGGACGAAGATAAATATGGGAGATATATCTAAATCTTGACCGATTATCTCCAATTTCAATAGGGTTCGTCCTTGGGCCAAACAAATGATTTGTGCAAAATTTCATCTGGATAGGGCAATAATTGCGAACTGTACTTTGTTTAAAAAAATACGGACGGACATGCATAAATCAACTCAGAATGTGATTCTATGCAGATCATCAATAGGAAGTATGGGTCTATCTCGTTTCCTTTTGCCTGTTACAAACAAATGCACAAAGACATAATACCCCGGACATGCATAAATCAACTCAGAATGTGATTCTATGCAGATCATCAATAGGAAGTATGGGTCTATCTCGTTTCCTTTTGCCTGTTACAAACAAATGCACAAAGACATAATACCCTGACCACCTTGTGGTGTAGGGTATAATTATTAAAAAAAGAAGAAAGAAAGAGGAATAAACAAAGAAAACTTTTCTTTGATATCCAATGCATTTATATTTGTTATTTATTCTTCATCAGAGAAGAGATTTGTTCGTTTTTACTAGCTACTGAAATATACCCTCGAGCGAGAGTGCTCGAAAAACAGGAGTTCTACACGAAGTTTACACTCCACATAAAAAAAAATTCGGTGAACAATGTCGCTAAAATCATCAAAATATCGAATATCGGGATTTACCATTATATTGCGGCTATACGAAGGCGTGTTCCTGCACAGACAATTTTTTGTCATAGGCTGTAGTATCCATTACGAACTTCAAGTACCATGTTTTAAACAATTCCAGTGAATAATGTCACTAAAATCATCAAAATACCGAATATCGGGTGGTGCCGTTATATGGGGGCTATGCGAATACGTGGACCAGCACAGACAATTTTCTGTAATAGGGTGTAGTACCCATTCCGAACTTCAAATCGCTAAATCAACATAGAATGTTATGCTGATCAAGAATATTTGGAGGTGTTTCAAGGAGAATGACAAACTTAATATAACCTCCATACAATGGTGGAGGGTATAAAAAGTAGAATCTCAGCGATTTCCAAGACCCACTCGCTAATATTCGACTATGCCCAAAATCTATTTTCACTGGCAGAAGCACTTCCTCTCGAGTTCGAGTAAAAAGTGGAACTAATTGGCATTTCAAATCTATGCTCTTGATTAGTAATTTTTGTCTGGGATATTCTACCCAGAAGTTATTTTAGAATAACTCTATGGCAATTATAGCGACATTATTCAACCCATGAAACATCGAGGATGGTAAATATCTTTTACTATATTCAATGAAACATTGAGTTTGTCCCAACAAACATTTTAGCTCTCACAATGTGTCGTTCATTTATCAACTCCAGAACAAAAAGTAATGACATTACCTAATACCCAAATAAATACTAAGTGACAATTCTGTACATTTGTTTGCCCATTTTTTCTCCTCTGCTAAACAATCTTTCATAGAGGACATCATATGCCTTTTTTATTGCAAATGTTTCATAGAACTCTCAGAAGTAGTAGCAGTTGTGCCGAAACGTTTAAATCACCCCATTTTATTATTTTCTGTGCAAATATTACCTTCATATAAAACCCATAAAATAATTTCTTCCAATGTAAGCGAAAACAAAACACCCCTCCAAATTGAATGAAATTCAATACGTGTCAAATGTTATTGAATACCTCGGAGGATTATTTTTATCAGCATCATCATTACAATATCCCTTCGGAGAATATATGACAATACGGAGGATTTTGTTATGATAAATTGTGTATTTTGCAAAATGCCAACAATTTAACACATTGTCAACAAAATTAGGCAATGCGAAAAAGTGTGAATGCAGGGAGATACTGCTTATACGAATATATTCAATTCATTGGTTATAGAAACAATATTCCCAATTCAAAACAACAATAGAATTTTTATCAACTGTGCTTACAGACAGTCTCCCGAATTAAAATCTACCATGGATAAAAAATTCGATAATTGAAGATTTCCATGAAATTCCAAAAAATTAATTTTTGTCGACATAGATAGTATTTTAAAAGGTCTTAGGTGGTAAAAATCTTATTCTTCAAATAATATCAGGAAATCAGTATCAGAGCAATTGCCCTTCTGGAAGATTAACGAATCCTTTATTCTTTGTAAAATGATAATTTCCTCCATATCCTTTTTTGGTCTAGAATATCTCCTGTAATATCACCTATTAAAATTTTTACTTTTCAAAACCCTCGATAATTTTATAGAGAACTCTCAGACATCTTTCTTGATAGGATGATTACAGCTTGTCTAAATTTATAATACGCGGAGTTTAAATTAAGAAGTCTATAGAATCTCCTGTAATATTCAATGTAATAATTTTTGCTTTTTATAAAACCTCGATATCTTAGCAAGCTTTCTGACTTCTATCTTGATAGAATGCTAAAAAACTCCACTTAATATTCTGGATTTTAAATTCAGCAGACCTCCACAGTAGCTGGGCTAAGTACATGCATCACGACATTAACGCCTTATTTGGTTACACGGTAAAATTAATGGCTCACTCGTCGTTAAACATTTTCGTTGTGGTCATTAATGATGACAAATAACCACCCCCTTTTTTAATTCTTAATGGTTGTTGGTTGCAGAGCAATAAAGGTAATGCGGGCATATTCGAAGAAGCAATTAGGGGAAAATGTCAAGTAGCACGACCAAGGGGAGGCGTTTTATTTGTACCCTTAGATGGTGTTTTATTGGCTTCAAACAACCTCCACCTAGAATTTTTATTCCTTCCTCTTGTATTTCGTTTAGCAGCAACAGCAGCAGCAGCAAAAACAAAATGGCTAATGCAAATTGAAAATGTTTTCGAAATGATAGCTTAGGGAATATGCTGTTGCTGGAATGTGAAGAGAAATTGCTTTTGGGTTTGTGTGCGGATGGAATGGTTGTGCGCTCTTGCCAAACAATGTGCTGCTATTATTTATATTCTTTATTAAGCTTTAGAGACTTATTCTTTTAATTAATTTATTTTCCAATTCTGGTTAGTATCTCTTCTCTACTTAATTAAGAGATTTTGTATTTCTTTTGTGGTCTTAATGTGGAGTGACCATAATAAGCAACAGGGGAAGTTTAAATTAATTTGTGGGGAATTAGATTTGATTTTAGTTTCGTATTACGACATTAATTTGTCAGTTGCTCATATAGAAGAAGAAGATAATGAACAAAATCGCCAATCTCAGGCTTTTAAACAGACAGAAATCAATCAAAAGTTCTTTATGTGTCTAGACCAAGGTCAGCCAGAATGAGACCAGACAAATATTAGAAAAGAATAATATTCATTAGAATATACATATATGTCAATCAAAGCAATTGTATACAAAAATCACAAAACTTCTCCTCTTTACTATACTTGCAGGAGACATTTGGTTTGCATGCATGTGAAAGGTCGAAAAGCCTTGTCGCCTAATTGGACTTCTGTTGGAACCTGGTCTAGACCTACGAGAAAAGACTTAATTATGGAATTTGAAAGATTTGATGATCTATCGGAAATATAAGCACATTCTAAAAATGTCCCAAAAAGTTCGGCAGGGGCACAATCCAAAAAAAAAAAAACAAATCTACGGATTAACTTATCAATCAGATCACACCAAAATGTATTCGGGACACTCAGAGCGGGTTGTAGAGTCGTCCCTGTTATTACCCCAGAAAAAGGCATTTCCTTAAGCTCTTGTTAAGAGACGTAACGTAGAACATCTGAAGAATTAGAACGAGCGCTAGTAGCAACATATATACAAGAGTAGTAAAATAACTGTCTGACTGATCAAGAAACAACGACCAGACGAAACGGCTAAGGCTAGAACATTGAAATTTCACACGATGATCAGTCCTGGTGCATCGGCGTGTGCTAAGGCTTAGTTTTGAAAATTCGTACTAAGAGGATTCGAAAAGTACTAAACATTTAATACTTTGTATTGGACAAACGGAATGAGCTAGAATTCTAAAATTTGGAATGAGGCACTGATGAAAAGCAAGATAGATGTTTTTGGAAATTCGAACTTTAAGGTTACGGAAAGTTCTATAGTGGTACCATTTGGTATTATATGAGCGGATAAAGCTAAGTTTGATATAAGAAAGAGGTGTACTAAGTGTGCGAATTGTACTAAATGGTGCTAAATTTGGATCAGTTTGGTTAAGGGTGAACGGATGAAGCTAAAATTCTGTATTGGAGTCCCTGTTGGTGTTAGGTTTGTTATAAAAAGAGATGGGTTTGGAAATGTGTACTAAAAGTGCACGAAAGTACTAAATGATACGAACTTTAGTACAATTTGGTGTTGGGAGAATTTTTGTCAAAATTTTGTATTGGAGCGTGTAAAATATGGAGGTGGTGTCGGAATAGTGTGCTATAATTGTACGAAAGTACTGAATTGTACCATATTTGGTATTGGATGAAGGGATATGAATAAAAAAAAAATTAACGTTTACTTTTCTATGGTATCTGTGTTTGAAATTTGGCAGTGGCTTTGAAATACGCTCTATATTTGTACGAAAAGTACTAAAAATTTGGTATTGGGTGGATGGATAGGGCTTAAATTTTCAAATTTAATATTGAGGTTTCTGTTGGTATTAGGAATGGAGGTGGTTTTGGAAATGCACTATAATTGTACCAAAAGTACTAACTTATTTTAGCAATGAGTGAATCCGTATATCTGGAATCCGAAATTTGATATTGGGATCACTTTTAGTTAATAGGGTTTGAAAGCTTTGGGCAGTAAAATTGGATGTAGCTCCATTATGCAATGGTTTTACTAATATCCTTTAAATGAAAGATTTTGAAGACTTAGTCTATCCGAAAAAGGAAAAACTTGAATAATATAAAAAGATTTGAAAGTGTGAAAATTTAGTACGATATATGTAGTTTAAAAAAAAATTGTCAAACTGAAAAATTGTTCACTTCGAGTAATAATAAGGCCTAACACGAACTATTGGGAACGAATCTTAGATTTTAAGGTGGATTTTTCCCTACAAAGTAATGGACTCTTGTTGTAATAATGTAATAATGTTTTTTTTTTTTTTGTTTTTTTATTTCAATGAAATTAAAAAAAAATATTTGCAACTCGTAAAATTGCAATTGTAATTCAAGAATTCAATTTTTGAAATCTTCGATATTTCCAAAAAAAAAACATCTAAGATACTCTAAAAAGAGATTGTCTTCAAGCTCGCGACACCCACATCTTTAACTACGAGTATGTTCATCTAATTTTTGGCCACCTTAGTTTTAATAAATTTAGCATCAAATCTCATAAATATTTTTAAAATCAATGATATCTAAATAATGGGATTTTGGTCTGTAAACTCGAATTCGTAGACAAGCACAGATGAGTAATAGTCAATACAAGTGTGGATCATAGTCAACTAGCCAACCAACTATTTCCGACAATGATAAAATTAAATTCCAATTTTCTAAATGTTCTTAATTCTCTACGGATATTTATATTTAAATTTTTATTTTTAATGCTAAAAAAATAGTTCAATAAATAGAACGAATTTAATATTAATACTACCAATGCTTTCATACACTTGTATATAATTTATGTTAATTTTTTGTGCACCTTCATGAATATCAGATTTTTAAACCGCAACATCTTCGCAATATTTTTTATTATCGAAGTATAAAGAAATCAATTTTCACGTAACATAAAATATCACTTCGTCTATTGTTTTCACATAAAGACGACGCCATGTTTCTAACAAAGCTATTTTATTTACAAATGGATTTTTATATTTACATATTTAATAAAATATCTATTCTGGGGATGATGATGATGTTGGTATTTGTTTTTGTGACCATTGTTTTCACATACAGAATTCATGCAACACACTAAATAGATACAAAGTTATTGAATTTACATTTTGTACATGTGTGTGGAACACATATGTATATCTACTGAATTCTATTTTCATTTCTATTCGATATCAATGGCGCAAAATACACAAAACCTTTTTAAATATGTAAATTTTATACGTCACACGCACACTAACACATCCACACAATATTGTTGTGGTGAGGCACATATTGAAGAATTTAAAAGACCACTTTACACACATATATATTCCCTATTTTTTGTTGACTGTTTCAAAAACAAATCGCTCTTACAAGCTGACGATGTCTTCATCGCCATCACCCTCACAAGCAGAGAAAGCTGATTTTTTGTCTGGAGAAAAATATGTTGCCACATCGTCTCATCATCATCATCCGTATCCAAGCTGAAATCGAGTATAAGGACAATGCTCTTTCTCTGGGCTCTTAGATTTAACACAGAGATTTGATGGCAATAGACATACCAGAAGCAAATAGCAGTTTGAAACATATTTCCGTCTCCCAAATCTTTATGGTGTGCTTATAAGTCTTTTGATTGCCCTGCCCCCTCGTCAATGGAATCCATGTTCTTGTCATGTTAACAACCATACTAACAGCAGCAGCATAGAATTTTTATAAGACAAATTTTATTTGGAGCAAAGACTTGAGGCTTTGGGGTATATTTGAGTGTGTGTGTGCCTAGCAAGGATTCCAGCATCCTTGGGAGGGTTGTTTATTTACAAAAGTCTCCATCAGCAATGTATCTACTGGCTTCCTTGTTTCCCAACATAGTATATGCATAATATATTTCTTGTTCATTGTGTGTTTTGTAATTTGTATATATTTATGTATATATGTATATAACAATTATTTTTTTGAGGAGAAAAGCTTTTGTTCGACGCACATGCTATCATAGTAAGCACAAAAATATCTTCTACAAAAGCTTTTACTCAACATAAACATGTGTTGCAGAGATTTTATACAAACAAGCTAGGCATATTAAAGAGTTTTACATAAAAATGTATCCATGTGTGAGTTCTTACACATACATACGTATATATTTGGGAAAATTCATTATACGCCAGTTATTTATGCACAAACAAAATTTAAAAATATTTTTGGTTTTTATTCTTTTTCAATTGAATTTAAACAATGAAGTTGTAAAATCTGACTTCATGGAAGGTCTCTTTAGAAGGAAGGTGAATTTTAAATTTTAGTTGCGAATCAGTGTAAGTTCACAGTTCAATTTGTCCAAGAGTGTTATAACATTTACATGTGTCTTACTTCTTCCAAAATCTTAGTCCAAACTTAGCAGACTTGATTTTAGTCGGAACGCCTATCTCGAGAAAAGTTGGCAAATCTACCTGTACCAAATATCACTGATATGAGACGCATCTCATGGTTTTGGGGTCTAAACATAAAATCGGGTAATACATCAATTTGGTAACGATTTTTACCAAATTTGACAGACTTGCTTCTAGGCTGAATTGGTGGACACCCGGAAAATCTGGGACCGCAACCCCACCGATATGCTCAAGTTTTATACAGTTTTTTGAAAAAGCTCAGTTTGATCTTATGGGCCACGCTCGTAATGGGAAGTTTTTTTTTCTCAGGTTAAACTTTATTATTCCACCAAAACTTAAATCTATTAAGTCTAAGAAGCACTTCTAAAAGCTGGACTATTTTGAGAGTGTCATCTCTCAGCTATATGCAGTGTTATAACACCACCACTATAGAGGGTGTCTAACATGTGGTGTCTAATAAAAAGTATGTATATTATTGATCAGTCCGTCCATTTTTAGAAATCACTCTAGCTTCCGATCAGAATGAAGTAGGTGAACAAAATTTCACTCTATATATGGATATATGTGTCCAAGATTATTTGCAGTCCCCCATAAAGATACCACCCAATTCAAGTTATTTTTGGGGTTCTAGTAATATTTTAGATCCAACATTTAGGTCCAAATTTTTTCGCTATTTTTGCTATATTTTTCAAAGGAACTTTCTAGAGTTGGTATATAGAATTCACAAGTCCTACTTTTTTCTGGTAAATAAGTGTCTATTCGGGTCCATGTTTTATGTAGCCCGCATAAAACGGAACAATCCGAAACTCAGTATTTTAATTACTTTAGCCAGATCTTTTAATTGAATTTTTTGAAGCTTGGTATTTGTTACTATCCCATTTGGTAGGAAATTATCTATGTGGTCACGGCACTTCCCGAAATTTAGTTTTTGATGAGTATAGCCACGATTTTCTTAGTAAGAGATATAACAGATGCCGCTCAAAAACTGGAATTGCCCATACTCATTTTAAAAAATGTAACTTTTCAAATGATTAAGGGTATTGAAAGTTCGACCTGGTCGAATTCAACAGCTGTCTCTGCCCGTATTTTTGTAAACAAAGTTCATTTCGTAATTATTGCCAGATCAGATGAACATTTGCAAAAAACAAAAATCTTGAAATTGGAGATAATCGGTCAAAATTTAGGTATAGCACCCATATATATCTTCGTGCAATTTAAATTTTATTGTTCACCATATGTACAATATTCGTCCAAATAGGACGCAAATTGGCACATGCTATCAAATTGATTAGAGCAAGTCTCTCAAATTTGATGAAAATCGGTTCAGATATAGCTATAGCTCCCATATATTTGTTTCATTCGATTTTGTGATAAAATTTCTTATATTCACAAAATGCACTCCAAAACAATAATATTTGAGAGAAGATATGAGATATGATATGATTTGATAAGATATGAAATACTGCAAAAAAATGCAACTGCCAAATTTTTTCCTGATCAGTTCATATTTGAATATCAAATCATTCTATATCTAGTGTATTGTGCACTAAATTCGTAATATTCGTCCAAATATTGACACTTGCGATCAAATTGAGCCTAGGAGCAAGTATGTTAACTTTTGTGAAAATCGGTTCAAATATAGCTATAACTCCCATATATTAGTTCCATTCGACTTTAAATTATAAGAGCCCTGAAGACATAATAACCGTTCAAAAACGATCGCAGTTGGTTTGATCTGCTTCACATAAATTCTCTATAAATGCTATTATTTATTACGGATAGCTCTGCTGAATATGCATAGTGGTGTAAGGTGTTAGATAATGAATTTTAGAAAGGTGTTATAAAATCCAATGAAAAACTAGTATATACAGGATTGCCCATATTCGACGGACCCATCTGGCAACGCCATAACTTTTGACAGAGATGTCACATCGCTTAATGACATACCGCGTTTGAAGCGTCAGTCCAAGCAGATTTTTACCATGAATCAATACACGCCACGCAAGCGCTCTGAAATAGTTGAAATTTGAAGAAGTCAATTGTGAAAACTCAACGTGCTTTTAAAACATTAAAACATGTGAGAAGTGCGCCTTCTAAGAACACCATTAAGCGTTTATACGAAAAATTTTCGACTGGTAAGGCTCTTTCTAATCCGAAGAGGCCATATAAAAGTCGACCAAGGCGATCGGCCGAGAATATCTCTGCCGTACGAGCCAGTGTTGAAAAGTCCCCAAGAAAATCCCAAAAACGCCGCATAAAATGGAACAATTCGAAACTAAGTTGTTTAATTACTTTAGCCACATTTTTTAATTGAATTGTTCGATCCTTGGTATTTGAAATTCGTATTGGTTCCCATCCCATTTGGTAGGAAATTATCTATGTTGTCATTGGTTTTCACATAGCCGTTATAACGCGGCACTTCCAGAAATCAGTATTTTCATGATTATACCCACGATTTTCTTAATAACAGATATAACAGATGCCACTCAAAAACTGGAACTGCCCACCTATAGACATATTTTAAAATGTGTAACCTTTCAAATGATTGAGGGTATTGAAAGTTCGACCTGGCCGAACTCAACGGCTTCTCAACACGTATTTTTGTAAACAAAGTACAATTCGCATTTATTGCCCGATCGGCATGAAAATTTGCAAAAAACAAAAATCTTAAAATTGGAGATAATCGGTCAACATTTAGGTATAGCGCCCATATATATCTTAGTGCAATTTCAATTTTATTGTTCACCATATGTACAATATTGGTCCAAATAGGATGGAATTTGGCACATGCGATCAAATTGAGTCTTAGAGCAAGTCTCGGTAGCAAGTCGGTTCAGATATAGCTATAGCTCCCATATATTTGTTTCATCCGATTTAGTGATAAAATTTATATTCACAAAATGCACTGCAAAACAATAATATTTGATAGAAGATATGAGATACTGCAAAAAAATGCCACTGCCAAAATTTTTCCTGATCAGTTCATATTTGGATATCGGATAATAAATACGTCATATAATTTTCTTACCAAAACAGACATACGTAAATGCAGCATCAAATAATTTAGTTTACCACTTCATTAACGCGCTACACTTCACAATGATCGCCACAATGGTCCCAAGTCTTAAAAAACCCCACAAAGCGATTCCAACTAATGACATTAACAAATGCTGCAATAACAAGGACACTGATGACAAAACCAGATCAATGTAAACGTTGCATTCGTACAACAACAATGATAAGAAGAATTGCTCTGGCTGTTGCAGCCAAGTCAATGCATTCATTCATTCATTGATTATTTGTAAAAACTACTCATCCAAAAAAAAAAAAAAAAAAATATTGAAAAGAAAAAACACAAACAACCAAAGAAAACACTTGACCACAAATATAACAGATGGTGTTGATTAACAATGGGAACTGATGCCCTGACTCTTGTGATTTTATTCCCTTTTAGTTGTGTCATTCTGAATGAATTTAATGAGTTTTTTACATTGTTATTCTTGCGTTGAGTTTAACAATGATTTCTTCAGCAGATCAGATCGGCACATTAGTAACAGCTCATCAGCGTCCTCAATACACTAAATAGAATATAATTTACTGGAAGTCTGCTAAAGAGGCCATTCATCTGATCATTATTTCTTTTATTCACGTGTTTTCTTTTTTCTTCACCAATAATCCGAGTTGGATGACTTTCTGGTTGGATGGGGGGAGAGCAATTAATTATCGCTTGATCATGATCATTAGCAAATAAATAATAAAAAGCAAAATCATCAGCTTTTGTATGTCTCGGGGGAAAAGAATGGGTGCTCCCGCCAATTTGGGCAGATGCAGAGCAAGTGAGAAGGAATTGTGTTACATTAAACATACATTTTTGGTTTTGGAGGGGCTTTCTTACATTCGGCCAATTCATCTTTATGTCATCAACTGTCTGTATTTTCTTTCTTTTTTTTCATTTATTCTTCTTTTCTTTTTTAATGCCATATCATCATATTATGGCTGTGATTAATTTGATTTTATTGTTTTCTTTCTTCTTTTCTTATCTGTGTGTGTGTTTTTTAGGTTCCGGTTTAATTTAATTTTTGAGATCATTACAATTTCCCCCATTGGCGGTGTTAATGAGTTGGAACAAATTATCCCAAAACAGGCTTAGATGTGGTTAGTTACTTACTTGTATTCGATAACCTTTCTCTCCACGCCATTGGATTGGCCACCAGACCCTGCAAACCGGGCCAATACAGATGCGTTCGTTCAACCATATGAGCGCCATGAGGTTTCAGAGGTGTTCCTTGATTTTGTGACAAATATTGAGCCATGCCCGCCGCGGCGGCAGCTATTGAGAAGCGTGGTATGCCACCTGGAATAAAAAAGGTTGAAAAATCTTTAATACCACATTTATAAAGTTAGGAAGAATATATAAACAATTTAGATTTTTTTAGGGGAATTTTTCCACTAAATGTATGTGTTTGTATGACTATATATTGGCGAAGCCGACTATATGAAACCTCCGCTACCCCACATATTCAGCAGTGCTTCGTTTTCGTTTTCGATTTGAGTTAAGTAAGTCATGACGATTATGATCGTTGCCGAATTCGTATACAAGTCTTTTGATTAAAATTAATGACAGCTGCAAAAGTTATAACTAAATATGAAACGAGAGATTTCGACTAAATTTGTCGGAGGTGTTTCAGGCTAATTGCGATATGCTGAAACGAATATTATATAGACATATTTTGGCTTGGGGAAGGCTTAGATATCTAAACAGATTTTGACCATGCTTTTATACATGCATGTGTGCGGGAAACCATTTTTACAGGGAAATGAATTTAACATGAATTTAAGTACTAAAATGTACCTTAAAAGGTACCAATTTTCTAAAATTGTAGGTTAAAAAGCTGGTTTTGGAAATGTGTAATACAAGTGCACGAAAAGTTCTAAATAGTACTATATTTGTTACAATTTGAATTTGGGTGAACAAATAGTGCTTGAAATCTGTCATTTGGCTTTAGGGTCAATATTCACGTGTAGTCTGGATGTATGGAGGAGGTTTCGGAAATGTGTGCTATAATTGTACGAAAAGTACAAAATGAAAAGTGAAGGAACAGAGCTTAAATCCTTAATTTGATATACAGGGTGAGATAAAAAAAATTCCAACCAACTTCAGACTGCTGTCATTTCCAAGCCGCTCGACCGACAGCTGTTAAAATTATTTCAGTGACAGCTTATTATATTGTTTACAAGCGTACAAAACCATTTTGGTGAGAATTTTCCAGAAAAAAAAAAAGTTATTTAAATGTGAATAAGTCTTTTGCTCGGGGTAAAGCCATTGCAATTCCAAAAAGTGCAAGAACTTACACCGCAAGAAAAGAAAATAGACTCAAAAGAGCTTAAGAGTTGCTTCGCTTGGCCGAAAGTGGTGAACTGTCAAATTTGGGTTTCTTCGATGAGAAAACATTCGTTGTCCAGCAGTTTGTAAACAAACAAAATGATCGTGTTTACTTGCTGAAGAGGTCAGCTGAAAATGTGCACCTTCGGTTGGCCACCATGTGGGCCGCCATAACAACCGATAGTCGCTCTCCGCTCGTATTAATCGACTGTGGCATCAGAATAAATGCCGAATATTATTCCGAAAATATTCTGGAGAGTGTATTAAAGGCCTGGTCCAAGAATCGTAACAAAATGAGGTTCCTCGCTTCATTTCCAGCGCATAATGGCCATCAAAATCTCCGGATACCAATTCGTTGGAATATTGTGTCTTGAGTATTTTGGAAAGCAAGGTTGGTACTAAAAAATACCAAAGTATCGATCACTTCAAGCAAGCGCTTCGCCGGGAATGTGCCAAAATACCGCAGAGAAATATTCAGGCAGCTTGCCATAATTTTTGTCAAAGGTGACCAATTTGAAAAAATCTAAACTTATTCTAAAATTTGATGCTATTTCCGACATTTTTTGCTTTCATTTGATAAAACTAAAACCAGTAAAAAATGTCTTAAAGTCGGGCGGGCCGACTTTATGATACTCTACACCACTTTGTTAATTTAGTAGAGCTCCGCATAACAATTAAAAGTTTTAATGGGAGAATTCAATCATATACGCTATGATTATAATAATAATTTAAAGTTCAAAGGACTAAATATGCCTAAGCATTTGTATATTCAAAATTCGGACTTGTATTGCCCATTTGTGCACAATTAATTTGAAATCGGATAAAAATATATATGGGAGCTATATCCAAATCGGAACCGATCTCGATAAAATTTGGCAAAGATATTTCTGAGCTGTATTTGATATATTTCCCTGAATATCGTTGTTACGGAGTGGATATTACGGCTGCGGAGGACAAAAATAACAAATCGGATGAAAAATATATATGGGATCTATTGCTATATCTGAACCGATTTCGAGCAAATTTGGCACACTTATTTTCAGGCCCAATCTGATCGTACGTGCAAAATTCCATACAATTCGGACTGATATTACACGTTTGGTGCACAATAAAAGGCAAATCGGACGAAGATATATATGAGAGCTATATCTAAATGGTGAACGATTGTTCACTAGAATATATGGACAGACGAACGGACGGACATGCATAAATCGACTCAGAATGTGATTCTATGCAGATCATCAAAAGGAACTATGGGTCTATCTCGTTTCCTTTTGCCTGTTACAAACAAATGCACAAATACATAATACCCTGACCCTGTAGATGTCACTATGGGTGTCTGTGGTTAATATATGGGTGTAGTTTTGGAAATATGTACTATAATTGTACGAAATTTGATATTGAGATCTCTGTGGTTAAGATATGGAGGTGTGTCTCGGAAATTATATAATTATAAAAAATTATACTATAATTATACAAAAAGTACTAAATTTGGATTACTGTTGGTGTCTAGGATGGAGATATACAAATTGTTTTAGATATATGTACAAAATATTACAAAAAATGCAATTGGATGAAGAGATAGAGCTGAAATTCTCAAATTTGACATTGAGATCATTGTTGGTTTCTAGGGTTTGCATATCTATACGTTGAAATATTTTTGAACAGAAAAAGTGTAAACTCCAAAATGAAAGATTTGGAAGAAATTTTACTGTAATTTACTGTAAAAGGTATTTTTTTTTTTTCAAAAAAAAAAAAAAATAATATATAAAATTTTGAAATCTTGTACGATCTATGAAGTTCTGATTAAAAAAAATTGTCAAACTGAACAAATAGTAAATTTTAATTACTAAAAACCTAGCATGACATGTTTTAACCAATCTAAAATTTTAAGGTGGACTTTTCTGACTGACGATGTAGCGAGCACTTGCTAGTATCTACATATATCCAATTCGCAAGACCAAATTCAGAAGAGGATATATTTGTAAAATTTATATATCATCATATTTTTTTTATAAATTAAAATGTATTTTTTTCCTGTACAATTTTATAGCCAATCTTTAAAATTTCTAGCTCTATTTTGATGTCAACAAATTATCAATGTTGCACATATTAAGAATATCATATTTTTCAAAAATAAGCCCTTTAGAAAATAATGTTTAAAATCCCTCTCTAGGTATCATCCTGTGTATATTAGTTTTCCCTTTTTAGAGATTTAAGTTTCTTGCTGATACAAATATATTTTAATTTTTCTTAGCCAATTTTGACTGTAAAAATTATATTTTAACAATAACAAATTAACTTTCCAGTTATTAGTTACACAGATACTAACGAGCAAAGTGAAAACTATGCACACACTTCTTCAGCTCAATTTTCCAAAGTAAAAAATGGGCTATATGAGATCTAAAAGGACCACTAAGTAATGTCAATTAAACCGCAATTCTAGCTTTTTTCGTTTCAGTCTCCAAATTAAGGTAAGTTGAATTTCTAATTAAAAAAATATTTAAGTTTTCCATATTCCGACTTTAACGATCACCTAACTACAAAGATGATTTAAAACACCCATACCCTATTAAAAAATACCATCATTAAAAAAACGCGAGTAATTAATTAATTGAAGGTCTTTACAAAGTATTTTAGCAGTTAAAACTTAAACGATGCCATTTGATATGAAAACAGTATTTAAAAACAACAAGATATGATATGGCACGGATAAATACTGCCAGTCATTTTTACAAACGAAAATCAAATAAAAAACACTAAACTGTCAATCAATTGTCATAAAATCTAATTGTTAATAGTTTGGTACACGTATATTGTTGTTATTTTTAAATACAAAATATATTGTGACCAAACGTCCACCCCAAATCAAAATGCCAAAATCAATTAAATACCATAACTAATTGTCATTAAATAAAGCGAATCAAATTTGTGAAGACAATGTGAATTTTGCCTTTGTTAACAAAGCGATAGACAAGATAACAATTATTTTGACTGTCCCACTGTCTATTTTTAATGTGTCAAACAAGAAAATTGTTATAAAGATCAGTGTTGTTGTTTTTCTGTGGGGATTTTGTTAACATTCGTGATTGAATTGGACTTTGGCGTTTCGTCGTTGTTGTGTTATTATTTTGCATTAAATCATTGTTGTCATTGATAATTGTCAAGATCACTGTGTGACAGAGAGCCAGAAATCAAACATTAAATAATTTTTGAAAAATAAATAAATAAAAATTGTTAAGTGTTCAATGGTGTCAAAACCTCATAATAATCATTGTGGAGTATTGCATAATTATCGTTGTTTTCTGTTGAAGAGGGTGGCTTAGTAGGCCGAATTTGAGGTTTTTTTAATGTACAAATGTGTTTCAAATGCTTTTTGTTTTTCTAAAAAAGATATTGATTGTTTATGAAAAACCTTATAATATTACTCTTTATAATGAATATAATTTCGATTTTCCTTTTCAAAGTCTATTTAGACCAGTCTGACCGTCGGATATTCATATTAAGGTTGTAATTGCTCTAAAGACACAATTTTAGGGATATCAACTGGAAAGTTTTAGCTTAGTTCTTTTGGCAAAAATGCATGGATTTTATAAAGATCGGGGAAATATTTTGGTATTAAAATTGACAGAAATTGCTCAAAATGCAAAATTTTTTATTCTTTAATAAAGAGTTTATCCTGATTTTTTTTTTAATCCGGAACTGCGAAAATTTTTAAGTGAAATTACTTGATATTTAAAGAATTTCTTTATCATTTTTTCATGTATTTTTATTATTTAAAAATTATTGGGCTTCATTTTCAAAATTAACAATTTTTTGTGATTTTAATACTGCCTCAAATTTTTACACACACAATCTCGAACTGACAAAAATGTAACATAAAACACTTTTGTACAAAGAATATTCAGCAAGCAGGCAATCTTATAAACAATTTTGAGAAAATTTTACAAAAATAGAATAAACCCTCGGAATTTGTGAATACCAAAAATTTTTCAAATATTTTCTGAAATAAAAATATTTTCCGCACCATCTCCAATTTTTTAAAAGATATTTTTTTATTGCTAACTTTCCCAAATGCCTATACGATTGCAACGTGTCTTCAAACCCCTCAAAAACCCCTCAAAAAATATCGTAACATGGATCCGTATCGAACTCTTATTGCTAAAATGTTGCATATCCATTAAAAAGTCAAAATTCTAAATTGTAAAAAAACAAGTAAAAAAGCAGCTAAGATTGGTCCGGCTAAACTTTTAACACCCTCCACCATTTAGAAGGAACTAGCAAAATTTCAAAAAACTCCGCTGAAAAAATTCAGCAAAAATTATATAAATACCTGATATTGGGCGGTACAGTTATATGTGGTCTAAACGAAAATGCATATGAGACAATTCCATTAAAAAATGTTGCGAAAATCGGAAAAATACCATTTTATGGATATGGAAGTGGTACCCATTACGAAATCCACATATATAATTTGAAAAAATCCCGATGAAAAATGTGACAAAAGTCTTCAAAATATCGTAAGGTATAGTTATATGGGGGATGTAAGAAAATCTGGCCCTATCTAGTTAATTTGCTATCAGAGAAAATAGTACATATTGTCATACCCAAATACCAACTTTGAAATGATTCCGTTTTAAAAACATGCAATTAACAAAATATCAAATATAGGGAGATACCCTTATATGGGGCTGTACAAAGACATGGACCTGTATAGACAATTTCCTGTCATAAAAGGTAGTACAAAATACGAACTCCAAACACCAAAATAAAAACATTCACGGGAAAAGTGTGACACAAATCATCAGCACACCATATTATGGTTATGGAGCCAATATTTACTAAAATATTGGCCCCATAATATGGACCAAAAAATACATTTGTGTTCGGAAGCTAGAGCGGACAAACGACGGGCATAGATAAATCGACATAAAATCTTATCGAGGTGTAAAAAACGGATTGAAAAATTTAATATACCCTCCATAGTATGGTAGAGGGTATAAAAATGTATAAAAACATTTTGCATTGGATATACCAAATAGTTATTCAACATTTTTGTATGAATGGGAAACCGAAATAATGAATTATATTCAATTCCATTTGGAAAACAGAGCCAAAACCACCAATTTTTCGAAACTACTTTCTTCTAATATTTATCTAAATAACCAATTAGTCAGCATTTCTAAATGTATTTTTGTATATTCATTAAATAATTTGTTTGTTTGTTAAAATTATAATCCTATAGGCTATAGGTCATATTGCATTAATATGAAAAAGAATGCTATAGGATTATTTAAATACAAATTCAGAAAATAATAAATATTTATGTCTAATTAAAAAACTGTAGTTCCGACGCTTTCGAAATATTAATTACTCATAAGCCCCTTAATTATAGTCTCACAACGAAAATTACCCAAAAAAACTTTACTTACCTCCCGTTAATGCACTTAATCCGGCCGATGTGACTGGAGGTGGTTTCGATAAAATCGTATCAATACCATGTGGATTTGCCGTACCATGACTTTGGGTATTTGTCGTTGTGCCAACACTGCCCGACGATGATGACGACGAAGATGTTATACGATTTTCCGACATTAAATGTGAATTTTGTGATGAGCCATAACCGGAACCCGCATTGGGACCACCATTTGCCGCCGCAGTTTTCATTTCAGTCATTGAGTGCAGTGCCGCCAAAGGTGGACCCAAAAAACTCAAAGGTAATTTATGATCCAAACTTATATTGTTGTTATTGTGTATGCCCAGCGGATGGCCTGTATTGGAGGAGGTAAATTTACGACTCGAGAGATTTTCTGGACTATAATCTGCCGGAGGTGGACTTGATTCACTGTTATTGCCAGCTTCTTCACTGGAACGTTGACTGACTGAAAACGATTTCGAACTATCTACACCGGGACTAGAGTTATTGTCATATCTTGATCTTTGATTCAGAGAGTTATGACAATTATCGGGCGATTCAGATTGTAGGCGGGATGATGTTTGTGAATTATTTGAATGATTTTGTTGATGATCGCCAATGTTGTGAGGCGGAGGTGTTGACGAGTCCTCAGGCGATCTTGGTGACTTTGGTTCCATGTGCATTTTATCAGATGCGGAATTATTCTTGAGCAGTATCAAAGGATGATTATTGTTGTTGGCAGCATAGGCTGCTGCCGCAGCGGCATTGTGATAATCCAGTAATTGATTTTGATAATCCATTTGTGTGGGATCTGGAAAACCATTTGCTAAATGATTGCCGTGATGATGTAGCGGGGGACTTCGATTCAAAAGGCTAACAGCGCCAGGTGAAGAATTTTGAGAGGCGGCAGCAGCGGCGAATGTATGATGCCGCATATAGGGATTAATTAAATCCATGGCTAGATCGCGTTCGTTGTGATTGGCTGTATTATAATTTAAGCTCTCGTCAATACGTTCGTTAAAGCGATACAAATTTGACGTTGAATTGAAACCGTTTATACCGGCGGCAGCCACGGCAGCTTGAAAAGCGTTCAAAGAATTGGACGAGGAACGAAATGCCAAATTAAATGCCGAATTTTGTGATAATTGAAGGGGTTTAGTTACAGTTGTGGCAGCAGATGAGGCAAGCGAAGCAACAGTAGCAGGAGCGTTAGCATCAGCAACAGAATTGAAAAGAAGCGGGCTATCCGGGCCCGTGGGCGTATTTTGAAGATATGGACTACCCAGGATGGTATGTTTGTTTTTTGGGATATACAATTAACACTCTTAGATATACAACTAAGATTTTTAGTTACACTTGTTTCACATTCAGGTTTTATATATCTCTTTCGAATTGTTGATTATTTAATCGAAAAAAATAATTCAATTTTTTCTTGAGGAAATTTTATATATTTTTATAGATTTTCTTCTTGATTTCACTCACAGTGGATATTTTTTATCATCACTTCATGTATTTGTAATCCATTGCTAGAATATATTTTTTGTTTTAATTTTTTTCACTTAACATTTTTATAATCCATTTGAAGCTGTTATTGACGACGGTTTTTCGTTTCAATTTAATTTTCAATTAGAACCGTTTACGCGTCCTCTTGTTTAGGCCTACAGCATAGAAGTGATTTGGAAATTGAAAATTTTCCTAAACGTTCGTCACCTAACACCTAAACGGCCGTATGTGCGTGCGTACGTTCCTGCGTGTTTGAGAGTACGAACACCTTTGTGAAATAATTGTCTGCTGTGATATGAACCCGTCGTCCAGAATTACACACAAACAAGATGCAGTAACGAAAACCTATACCACCATAACGGCCATAGCCAGAAAAAGAAGACGAGAAAAAAACTCGACGACGATTATAATGGCATACCATGAAAATAAGAAACTTCAACCACCACCAACTACTACCGACTGCTACCAATTTAAATGAGCACTGCACACCACCACTGCGATTCCGATAACGAGAGTATCAATTTGTGTTGTCGTTGATTGTCAGCCGTCGTGCCATTTGCCTTCAACTCTCGCTGGCACAACACACTCTCCTCCTCATACATCGGAAAACAGTAAATCCGGTTTGGTTGGCAATTCTGCTCTCAATTGGTTTAGCATCCCCCAGAAGTAAGTGTATGAGTGGAAATATCTCTGACACGCACGCAGTCATATATTTTGCCAGGCCGCTGCTAAACATCACACTGGTATGAAAGAGAGAGACTATGACATGTTTGAGTATCAAGTAAGTCAAGGGAGTAACAATGCTGCAGCCAACTGTCAAAGTCCTTTCTGAAATCTCAGCTATTCGTTTGTTATTTGCTCTTGTTGTTGCCGTTGTTGTTGCTGCCCAATCTCTCTATTATTAGACGAAAAGAGTTTAATACTCTGAGCATCGTCAACATCATCAACACAACACAGCACCGGGTAAGCAACAAAAAGAATGTGATTTTTATTATGTACGTCATTAAAATGTACTAATAACAAAAAGACGCTTGGTTTATTTCTTTTCAACCCACTCAAGTTTTAGCCACACATTCTCTCTCTTCTCGAGCACTGTGACTCTTTTTTTATAGTGAAACCATTAACTGAATGTGGGGGTACTATGGTACAGTGATCTCCTTCCTTTTCTCTCCTCCAGTATTTTACCATATGTAAAGAAGAGTGGTAAACACGTACATAAGTATACATGAATGTTTTTGTTTCTTGTTTAGATTTCTGCCATAGATTTACACAAACCCGCAAGAAACCATTTAGTTTCAGTGTGAGTCCAAAAAGGGAGGGACCACCGTTTTCAGTGAATACAGTAACAAATAATGTCAACTCTTTGCTTAGCTATTCGTTGTTTAGTGAATAGACAATTTTCATTGAGACGTAGTCACCCTAGCCAGGGATGGATAATTGGGTTATCATAGTCTTAATTGTTTAATTAAAAAAACGTTATTTTTAGAAGAGAAACCATTGACAAATGTGGGGGAATATTTCAATGACTTTAAATAAAAAGGACTGTAAAATCAAGGAAAATGTGTGGCTAAGATGTCAATATGTCTCGAAATTAATTAATATAATAAATTAAATAAGCATGCAACTTTCTACTATGAGGATATCAAATAAATGATAATCGAAGTTTGAATAAACTTTTCAATATATCACTATATTGATACCATATTCAATTCCAACTGAATGAACGCTAAAATACTTGAAAGAGTAATCACAATTGATTTATTCTTTGGAATTTCTAGGAGTGAACTAAATTTTAAAAAAATAAGTGTACAAACACAATTTCATATTTGGGCTTCTCACGGACTACGTCAACTATATGCATGAATATTCGAAATAGGTTTACATTATGATTTTATAAGGGCTGGTATAAGGGCACCGTCCAATTTTAGGTATTTTGAGGTAAAATAAAAATAATTCGAAATTGGTCCACGTTTAAGTTTAGTGTTCGATATAACGGTATTGCCCGATTTCTGAGCTAAATTTGGTAGTCTCCGCCAAAATTCATCCGATTCGGATATTACTCATTTAGCAAACAATATACTTGAAAAAGAACGAAGATGTATATGGAAGATATATCCAAATCTGAAACGATCTCGATAATATTTGGCAGAGGTATATCCGAGATGTATCTGATATCTGGTACCAAATATCTTTTTTGTGCAATGCATATTTCGAATGAAACATATATTTGGGAGCTATGGCTATATCTGAACCGAGTTTCACCAACTTATTTTCTTTCGCTTCTTGGCTTTATTAGGTCATATGTGCCAAAATCAATTCTATGTGGGCTGATATTAGATATTTGGTGCACAATAAACCTGATATCGGATAAAGATATATAGGGGAGCTATATCCAAATCTGAGCAGCTCTAGATAAAATTTTGGAGGTGTATTCCAGAACTGTATCTGATATCTCTCTCCAAACATCACTGTTGTGGAGTGCATATTACAAATTTTGGGGACTTAACACCCAAATCGGATGAAGCATATAATTGGGAGTTATAGCTATATCTGAACCGATTTTCACCAAAATTGTTTACAAAAATACATGGACAGATGGACGAACATGTATACCTCGATTTAGAATGTGATTCTATGAACTATGTATCTATCTCGCTTCCTTCTCCTGAACCACAGTGTTGTGTCGGGTATAAAAATATGCCAATGCAATTTATGTATTTTGGTAACAAACAAAATCATTTGAACAAAAATTACACACATATCGGAAATATTGAAAACTTGTTCCAATTACTAATTTTGAATACAAAAATTACAAAATCTGTTGATAAGGACTGAAATGGAAAATGTATCGAGTTCAAGCCAATTATATCATCAATTGTATATAAGGAGGTAAAAAAACAGTTTTGTAAAATTACAGAAATACAGCCTTGAGGCTATGCCCGCCTTTTGTCAGTTTTGTCAATTATTTAAAATTATACGCAACAAGCAGTTTTCATTTATTTTATATTTTTTTTTTTAATTTTTGAAAGGAGTTAAAAAAGTAGGAAAAAATAATAAAATGCCTGGATTTCCTTCAAAAAATTATACCAAGTGTTTAATTTTTCAATTCCATGGCAAAAAAACGTTAATATCTATCTCCAAGGCAAGTTCCTTGTAATCATTGATTTTATAAATATTTTGTTTTTATTTTTCAAAATATTAAATTATTTAAGAACACAACATTTGCAGAAGTCGGGCACACTAAGAAAAAATGTATTCAGCTTATTCCTTTTTTATAAAATATGGATGCGTTAATTTGGGATTTTTTTGTTTTTTAATGCAAAATTTTTGAACTTTTGTGGGAAGGTAAAAGAAAGAGTGGAGTAATTTATTTAATTTCATACTAGATCTAGCACAGGCCAAAATGTTGGAATGTGCTAAGTTTTAAACAATTGAACATCGATTTTACATATTACGAGAATTATTATTTGTAGGAGATATACTAGAAGGAGTGGGCCAATATTGTCCCTGGCCTAAGACTTAACTAAATATTACGATATGCCTAGTTGGAACTTCATTCCTCCCCTCTTCAGCCATAGTACAATGACAGATGTCTTGGCAAAGAACTTTTTTTACCAATAACGAACGGGAACCAATATCGAACCAATTGAGAAAACGAATGCTCGATGTGATGCCGCTATATTTGGTAGAAATCGGTTCATATGTATGTTTGTTTAAAACCGTAAATTTCCCACCATAACTGAATAGAGTTTATTGGATAAAATAAAAGTTCCACACAATTCCATACTTCCATCCCTGCCACACAACCAAGCGAACGAACATCGTGCAAAGTACATACTTACTTTGAAATAAAGTCGGGGCATGGCTTTTTCGTGTTTATTTGTTTAAAATGTTATAAATATTGAGAGGAAGTCAATGTTTTTTATTCATCGTTTTAGTCTCGTGTTTCTTATTTTAATACTGCTCTCTTTGTTTTCTTTTCGTTGCTCCTAGTGTTGTTGCTATTAATTTTATTTTTAACGTCTATCTAAAAATGGATATACATATAAAGCAATTTAAATATACAATTTGTGTGTGTATGCACACATACATATATGTTGTATTTTCGTGTTGTCCTTACAACCGTTTGTATCATTGTATATATATGTGCATGAATGCTTATTTTTTGTGTATATCATAAAAATGAATTGATAACAAAGAAGAAAAAAACAAAAAAACTATTTAACATATTTCTAATTGATTTATTATATAATAATTATCTTTTGCATGGATATTAATGAACACGTCGAGTAAATTTATTATTTGAGTCTTTTTTATCATTTCTCGTTTCATAATTTATTCAAACTCTTAATGAAAATTGGATTTGAAAATAGATAAAAAAATGCCGTCGGAGAAATGCGAGTAATTGTAGAAGAACGTAGCTAAGATTTTTTTTTTTTTGAAGCAGTCTTTTCAGTCTTTCTGAATAAAAGCCTCATGAAAACTTTTATGCGAGGTTTGGTTTTGTGTAAGGAGCTCATTGACCCAGCCCACATTTTGCCCTTTATTATTGCTGATTTGAATATAAACTCTACGAGTTTTTTAAACAAAGATATTTAAGGTAAGGTTACCGAAAAACTAATATTTCAACTATTGTTGGGATATAAACATTAATACAAATACAAAAAGTAAAAAAGTATCAGTCGGTTTTTCCGACAGATGTATACCCCCAGTCTTGAGTTATAATTATGCAAACTGTTTTGGGGGTGGTTCCGAAGCAGTTGGTCAATATTGACCAATTCGTATCTGACCTGAGAGTGTTATAAATACTACAACATGCCAGATTTGCACTACATGGACTATTTCCTATGTTTTATAGGATATACTCGTTTGTGCAAAATTTTCGAAAATGTGAAAAAATGCGTGAGGTGCAAGATATAGCAGATCGAAGTATTCCATTTTCATACTTCATCTAATTCAGATAAAATTTAGGTATGTGCAAAATTTGAAGGAAATTGAACATTTATAAATTTCCATAAATAACATATTCATATAAGATTTCTGGTTAAGAGAAATATTTAGACAGTTGTAAAGAATCACCCGCATGTTTCGCACGTTATTACAGATATAAGCTTTGGAATTTGTGACCCTTTTCGGGTGAGGAGCCAAAAGTGGATGGCAGATAAATATTATCTTCACAACAGATCTTGCGTTAGCAATTTCGCTTTCTTCGAGAGTTTTGTTTTTCAAAATCTTGAACCCTATATGGGGGAGGTCCGAAGGGTCCGATCTCTATCATCCTTATAACAGATAGTTTGTTGATGAAAATATTGAAACATGCCAAGCCTGAATGGAAATGGATGTTAATTTCACGTTTTATGAGCTTCATGGATACTCAAAATGTTGACCCTTTGTGTGTGTGTGTGTGGGGGTGGACCGATACATCCCATCTTCACACCAGACCTTGGTTCAATAAAAATATTGTG